CAACCAAATGGTGAACAAAAACGCAATGCTATCAGCTTATTGCTTTTTATGTAATTTAATTTTTTATTGATGTTTTAATAACATAAATAAACTTTTAAATAAACAGACTATGTCTTTTTGAGTTAACAGAAAATAATAAATGCATAAAACTAGAATGCATAGTAATACCTAATAGTAGTAAACAAAAGTACTAAAAGAGACAATCTGTCTTCTCGTAAGTAAATTGTTCTTATGGTCGCACTTTAAAATTGATGACCATTCTCGCAGTTGTTGTTCCTCCGTTTGATAATAACTAAATTAACCTTTTCCAACCGGGGCAGTCTCTGCCTAACGTAAAATTAACAGTAAACTATAAATGATACAAAAATCAATAACATTATTCGTTTCGAATTGGAATATCCATAACCTACAACTTTTCGATAAGCTTTTTAAAAATATCAATTTTCGATTGCTCCAAGTCTAATCTTCTTCTTTCAATTTCCATAACCTCCTGATGTTCTTTATTCATGATTTCAATAATTCTTTCAGTGTCACCTTGTCTTTTTAATTCATTTTTTTCCAGGACTTGGAGAATTTCCGAATTTCGCTTTGTTAACCGTTTTCGTTTTTCCACCGGTGGAGTTGGTAATGGATTTCCTCTTATATCATCCTCGTTTGATATAAGTAGATCTGACTGATCATTGTCTGTAGCATCATCTGCCTGTGCTTCATTTGAATGCTCAATCGTGGAAGTCAATGGGTCACTCGACTGCTGAATTGTGGAGTTTGACAGGACTATGCGAGGTCGAACAAATGGTCGACAGCCAATATACTCATCCAGGTCATCATAATATTTGCAGTACTTAGGCTCAACCCCTGTTTTTTGATTATGTTTGACGCAATTCTTATATGGTGTTAAAATATTGTTCCATTTTAACTTTAGTTGAATCCATGTGTAACTGTATTTTACATCAGTTTTTTGCATTTCAGTTGCCATCAAAGCCCACACATTCTTTTTTGGTGTCTTCTTGTCATTCATTTTATTGTTGTACTTCTTGTGAAGCTTTATAAGCAAGCGGACAGCCCCTTCAGGCATTTCTCCCTTCTTTTTATTTTCAGCTCCAGAAGCACCTTCTGAAAGTTTTAAAAAAAAGACAGATTAACGTTGACTCTGCGAACACTTTATTTTATAGCCTATTAATAGATATCAAAATTATTCTGACTGATTGATTGATTTGTGTTTAACAACATGATATTATACTGCTCTGTTTATTAGGCTAAATTGGAAAAGCAATCAACTTGCAATGCTAGAAGTTTTGCCTGGTAGCTGGGATAACTTTCTACTTGCTTCCCAACTACATGTACCATGTTTTATTTCTTAACGTTCAGTCCTATATTTACATAGGTGAAACTCGGGTTATTATAGTCTCGTCCAAATGCCCAGTTTTTTTTCTAAAAATGTTTGCTGCCTAATCATTCGAAAGGGGGGGGGCGAGTTAAAAGTTTCTTATTTCCCATCCGGTACTGTACCAACCCAACCGGGTCGTGAGCAAATACCTTACCTAAGCTACCCCTAAAATTATATTTTAAAAATAGTCTTTATAGGTAATTAACAAATTTATTTGATAAAAAGCAAATATAACAAATAAAATACCTTCATGAATCTGAATATTTTCTCCCTTATCGGTGTTGCCATTTAAACCGGTATCAGGAACATTCGCTGCCAACAAATTTGTTTTGATGTTTTCTAATGTCTCTGGATCTGCAAAAACAATGTGGATACGGTATATAATTTTAATTAATATTAAATTTATTTGTTTACAATAAGTAGTTATATGTTTTTATTAATAATGCTAAAAGAGGGGTTTTCCGTTTTAATTAAGCCATTTATTTAAAGAGGGCGATTGAGGGTTGTGGGGGGGTTGGATGGCTGAATGGTTAGCGTGTGCGCGCTGTATCCTAAAGTCTGTCGACTGGCGTGGTTTCGAATCCCCGGTTGTACGTGACAAGGAGTAGGGTCGCCTGTCCAACCTCGTGGGTTTTCTCCGGGTCCTCCGGTTTCCCCCCACAGCTAAAGACCCCTACGCGCAAGCGAATTATGTAAATAAAATTAAACCATATGTTAGTCTCGAAATGACCTAGTTGTCGAGTGGACGTTAAACCCCATTTCTCTCTCTCTCTCTTGAGGGTTGTGAGTTGACATTTATGATTTTTTTGTGACAAAATAAGTAATTTTCTGCATCTTGGTGTATATTTTTTGAGGGGGTTGTGGCAGGTGCCGTGCCAATATTTTTATAACTGTAAAAATGCGCTGTCCCATTTTCGGAACCCCGTTATGGGGTGCAGCCCACCGCCGCTTTTTGCTGTATCACTTATAAATACCCTTCGACGGGCATCATGACACATGCCCCCCCCCCCCCCCACAAATATGGTACTACTCTGCTCAGTAGTACTACAGTAGCCTACACTAGTAGCTAGACCTACCTCCATTGACAATTTTTTCATATGTCGGCAAATCTACATTAACAGTGACATGTTTCCCATCCCCAAAGTCAATTTGGACATCTCGCCAATACCTGAAAAATTAAAATTAAATTTACTTTATAATAACATTTTATCTATCAGTACATACGTGTTTTTTTTTCTATCACCCAATGTGAGTATCACAGAACAGAAGGACAGATGGACCTTACGCAACAGTGACAACCACGTGATAACACTTACTCAGGGGGAGACTGGTTACAGGTATTGATCGATATGTCAAAACATGACGATGGGGGCCTGTGTTTCAAGTGTAGTCCAAGTTAACGACTAGGCAGTAGACTACGTACAGTGAGTGGGTGACTGTTAGGCCTAACGGGAGTGACGTAATATTTTACTAAAATTAGGACACCCAGAGGGCCTAAAATTGCTTAGAGGTGATCTAACATTCTTGTGGACTATAAAGTTAACATTAAACACGTCAAATGTGTTTTAAAAAAACAATTTTTATGGAGATAAACAACAATAAGCATTAAAAATTACTTACGACGTGGAACATTCCGCCATTTTGAAAACGTCAAATCTAATCGCCTAAACACCTCCTGGGACGATTAGGTCGATTTGCCTAATCAGTTGAGTTAAATCGTCTCACAAATATAACGATTAGCATAATCAACTTGGTTCACAAATGCGTATAATAGCTAATCGGTCTAATCTAATCGGTTCACAAAAACGCCTGATATCACCGTTACACCCTAAAGCCGGCTGAGTTCAAATTTCATGAAAATCTACCCAAAACTGGCAGACAAAATGGCCGCCCCTCGTTCTCAAATAGCGTAAAAATATGGTATAGCAAGGTTGTTGACCCTATAGAGGTCACAATTTTTATCCGATTTTGTTGAAACTTGAAATGTAAGTTTATAACCCAATGATCGTAGTTCTTTTCGATATTCGCGCATATCGGACCGTAACTTCCAGAATTATGGTCCCTGATTGTACGAAAAATCGCGTTTTTAGCTTGTGGACCCTATAGGTGACAATTTTTTATCAGATTTAAAAAAAAAGTATTAATATATCACCGTTACACCCTAAGGATGGCTGAGTTCGAATTTTGTGAAAATCGGCCCAAAACTGACAGACAAAATGTCCATCGTTCGTTCTCAAATAGCGTAAAAATACGGTATATCAAGGTTGAGGTCACAATTTTTATCCGATTTTGTTGAAACTAGAAATGTAAGTTTATAACCCAAAGATCTCGGTTCCTTTCGATATTCACGCATATCGGACCATAACTTCCTGAATTATGGCCCCTGATTGTACGAAAAATCACTTTCTTTTTAGCTTGTTCTCTATCCATCTCTCGAAAATGTGGGCGTATCCTGCCTGGCAGCCGCTGGTTTTCTTATTGATGACTATAGTAATTAGTTTTTATATTGTGGGATCACTGTAGATTGTTTATTTTTAGATAAGAGCTTACTCAAATTACTGCTAATTCAGAGGATGGTAGACAGAAAAACTTAAATTACCTAGTGATTTGTATGATTTGCCTGTAAATAAAAAAGAAAATTGATTCAAATGACTAATCAAAAAGAACTATAAAAATTAAGACTTTATGTACTGTATGTGGTAAATTGTCTATTGTCTCTTAGTTTACCATAAATACCCTGATGTAGAAGATCTGTGATTGATGTACTGTAGACATCATCATAGAGAACAACCTCTGATATTTACAAATCTATTAACTTTTCCAGACAGAAAATGTCTTCTAGACTAGAGGTTTTCAACCATTTAAAACAGTTTCATTGGGGACCAGTAAAATAAATGACAGATTTCGGGGACAGAAAGAAGAAAACATTATTTCAAAATGATAATAACAATAATGTATATTTATTTATAATGCACAAATTTCATTACATGAATGCATGCATTGAAAATTCTGTAGCTACGTAAAAAAAACAGAAATGAGCAGTAAACAATGGAACAGAGAGACAGAGCAATGTTCCCATATTCATTGTTCATAGACTGGTGGCTTTTATACCGACCAGGAATTTCTGATCCGATGATTGAAAACCAACTGTTAAAGTACCAAAATCAAATCTCCATCAGAAGTTGTGTCCCCTGCCTTTCGAAGATCAGACCTCATCTTTTTGGACTGTGGCACTGCCTTTTACGCAAAATGTGTACAAAGTTTGTGGGTCCTCTAGAGGCCAGGCCATAATTTTTGAATGATCAATATAGATGAAACTTAAAACATATGTTAAGGATGAAAAGATTTTGGATGAGTTTGATATTGGTGCTCATCGGACCGTAACTTCCTGGTTTATGGTTCTGACATTAATCAAAATGTTAAAGTTTATTATGAGCATTCTAGGGTGATGAATTGGGAACACAAGAGCATAAAACCTATGGTTTCAACATTCCCTGTTGGTCCGACAGGGATGAACCTTTTCAATAATCTGCATAGTGCAACCTTCCATTCCGGAACCTCTGCCCCCTTCACCAATTGTAATGTTTTGTTCTATGTTGTTTATCTTTTTCAGGCAAGACTAGATGATTATACTAAGGTCCATGTTGTTTCAGGCAATATGTCATGTGATTTAGATTCCACTGTGTCATCTTTGGTCTATGCTTATTATCTTTACACAGTAAGTTAATTAGTCATTATAGAAATAGCTTTTCTTACTGTTTTCATCCTTTCTGTCATTTTTGTTTTCTGTAATTTTTTCAAATTAAACTTTGCGATGTTTGATTAAAAATTGTTACTTATCAAGTCCGTGTTTCATGGGATTCCATTAATGTTTTACTGAATTATAGACCTTTGTTGACATGGACATTTGTTGACTTGGATGGCCGAATGGTTAGCGCATGTCTGTCATTGAGTCATCTGGCGTGGTTTCGATTCTCCGGTTGTATGTGTTAAGGAGTAGGGTCGCCTGTCCAACCTCATGGGTTTTCTCCTCGTCTTTTTTTTTCTCCCACTGCTTAAGACCCCTACGCACCAGCGAATTATTACAATAAAATTGAACCATATGTTAGTCCCGAAATGACCTGGTTTGTGTTGAGTGGATGTTAAACCATGTTTCTCTCGCTCGCTCTCTCTCTCTCTCTCTCTCTCTCACTTAAAAGTAAAATATTAATGGTGAAATTAACACCAAATTCAGAAGAGGTAACATTTTGTGAATGCACAGTTTTAATAAAAAATTGATTATGCTGCATGGGAAATGAATATAAATGTAATTTTTGATGCATAATGTTAGTGCTATGATTTGTTGTTATAGAGTAAAATCAAAATTATGATCTGAAGTCCTTTGGTGAATGGCCACTGTCGTATAACTCCTGGACTGAAAACATAAATCAGATATTGAAGAAATATTATTCTGAACTGTACAAATAAAATCCACAATGCTGATGGTTTTTGTTTCAATCTAATAAATAAAATTAAACCTATGACCATCTATCTTCACATTTGATTTACCGGTACTCATTTCATGTAACTAACATTTCCTCTTTAGTTTAACCTACATTTAATGGCATTCATAACTACTTACTCTATGCTTGATAGTACTTCTGGAATTTAGACATTTAAATATAACAATTTGTATCTTTAAAACAAATGACCTTAAATAAAGTTTAAATACATTGCTTCTACTGGTGAAGCAAATCAAAGTAATTACTTATACAATGTTCCATTTAACTGTCCAGGGCATGACTGAAGTTGATTATTCAGTAGTTCTCTCATTTTGATCATCATCCCGTTGAGATTATTCTGGGAATGATGTGTAGTACTCAGAAGTGCACTCTAGGATTGAATGTGGTAAGGTCTGTAGTAGAAAGAATTTTATTGTCCCCTACCTTTCGAAGAAATCAGGACTGTTAAAATGGGTTCGTCCGTCAGTCTGTCTGCATCTGTCTGTCCGTCACACTTTTTTGAACACAATAACTCTCCTTGTAATTGAGCTAGAATGTTCAAACTTGGTGTAGGTGTTTTTAGGCCAGTGCCTTGCTGGAGTTCGAAGATGGGCATTTTCTGCTTAGAGTAAGCAGATATAAGCAATTTGATTGGTTGATGCTTTGGGGCACGATAACTTTAGCTCTAATTAAGTGAGAGTGATGAAATTTGGTGTATAGTTTTATTACATCAATACCTTGAATAAGTTTGATAATGAGCATTTTCTGCTCAGGGTAAGCCGAGCGATAAGCAATTTGATTGGTCGAGACTTTGGAACACAATAACTCTCATTCTAATTGAGCTAAAATGTTCACACTTGGTGTAGGTGTTTATTACTAATATTAGGTGAATGCCTTGATGGAGTTTGAAGATGAGAATTTTCTGCTCAGGGTAAGCAGAGATAAGCAATTTGATTGGTTGATGCTTTGGGACACGATAACTTTAGTTCTAATTAAGTGAGAGTGATGAAATTTGGTGTATAGTTTTATTACATCAATACCTTGAATAAGTTCGATAATGAGCATTTTCTGCTCAGGGTAAGCAGAGCGATAAGCAATTTGATTGGTTGAGACTTTGGAAAACAATAACTCTCCTTCTAATTGAGGTAGAATGTTCAAACTTGGTGTAGGCATTCATTAGGTGAATGCCTTGATGGAGTTCAGTGATAAACATTGCTTACGGTAAGCAGAAATAAGCAATCTGATTGGTTGATGCTTTTGGGCACGATATCTTTGGTTTTAATTAAGTGAGAGTGATGAAACTGAGTATAGATTCATTACATCATTACCTTGACTAAGTTCGATGATGAGAATTTTCTGCTTAGGCTAAGGAGTGATAAGCAATTTGATTGGTCAAGTCTTTGGATTACACAATAACTGCTTTTAATTGATGTAGAATGTTTAAACTTGATGTTGATGTTCATTAGGTGAATGTCTTGACTGAGTTCAATGATTAACATTTCGAGCTAAAGCTAATCAGAGCTAAGCAATATCTTTGGTCGATGCTTTAGGGCAAGATAACTTTGATTCTATCTGATAGAGAGTGATGAAACTTAGTATATAGTTGATAATCTGTTTGACTGCTTAATGATACTTTTGAAAAAAATAAATTTGCGACATATTAATATTTGTCATCTATTTATTTTGGGATTTTGGCGGGGGGACATCAGCCTCACTGTTGGCTTGTTCAATTAGAACCAGAAGTCTTTGCCTTTAGGTCATCATCAATTTTTGATTAACTCATTTGCAGCTTTTTAGGGTTATTTCTGCATTTTTATATCGCTGTATGACAGTACATTGAACAGTAATACCATTTAGCACCATGTATTACTTTTCTACCAGTGTCTGTAACTAAACTAAGATGTAATCCTGCGATGGTATTTTTCTAACAATTGATTAATCTGGTCTTGTAAGCGCTAAATCTGCTACTAAAAGGACTGATTGTTTCTGATGAGATTTTCGAACTTGTACAGTATGTTGTCAAGGAAACTGGAGGAAGGGATAATATTCTAATTGATTGATCTCTCTCCTTTCTTTGTGTACAGTATGATTAGAGCTGTCTGGTAGGTATTTATCTGAAGTATACTGTAGGTGGATCATCAGAATATAACTGTGGCATTATTAGACAGATAATTGAAAATTAGTTTTGATTTTTTTAGAGCATACTGCTAGTCATCCAGGTAGTGTGATTTGAATATGATCTTCAGGTTAAAAGTATATTTTGAAAATTAGAAATATTTGTTCTGTTTCAGATTGATGAGAATAAAGATGTCTTCTACCTACCTCTTATGCAAATACCACGAAAGAAGTTTCACCTGCGATTGGAAACTGTGCACTTCTTGGATAAAGTTGGAATACAACAAGAATTATTGACATTTTATGAGGATATATCATTATTAGATTTACACACTAAAGGCAAATTAATATTAACTTTAGTGGATTATCATGTTTTAAGCCCAAGTTTAAGTGACCTTGAAAGTGATGTTGTGAAGGTAATAGATCACCGACCTATAGAGAAACAATGGCCAGTCAGGTAAGTCATTCTTAACCAGCTATGAATAAAGAAATCAATTATTGTCTTTATATGATAATTTAATGTTCACATCAATGCGATTGAGCTTTGTGAATGATTGCCCTTATAAAAGAAAGTAATCTTTCAGCTACATTTATGGCGTCTTTGATGTTTACTCACATTATGTCATTTTGGGACTAACATTATGCACAAGACTTGCAACGCTTCATACCAGCCCTGTATGCAATGATGAGCCATTGTTGACACCTTTTTTGGTTTTATTATCGAGAATCGTGATAGACAAATAACTATGCTGAGGACCATTGTTTATTTAAGTTAATACTTAAATCAGAAACAATTTAAATAAAAAATTCAGTAGCCTAATTAAGTATGGGCGTGTCAAATTACCCCATAATACCCTATAACTGCCCAATAACACCCAATAACTGCCCAATAACACCCAATTACTCCAAAATGTTGACTTTAGAAACACAAAATAACAATTCAGTTAAATTTAAGAACCTCGTGGCTTTGTGCCCAAATAGGTATGTCACGTTCACTCGCGTGAAGGGAGATAACTTGTGTATGTGATTTTGTTGACAAGAACCTAATGTATGCTTTCATTGCAATTCGTTGTAATGTATTGTAATTAGTGATTGATTGATAGTTTATTAAAACAGTAATTATATGCATGAAACAATATTATGGTATATATAGTGCAATAAACTATTTAATATAATAGCTAAATATTATTTATATTTACAGATTGTATTGATTGTCACTTTCGGTCATCTAACACAGCATAATATGACATACCAAATACATGTACTACTACGATTTTGATAGGATATTTTAATTGAAAAAAAAACAAAAAACATGACCACCAATTTTTTTTATTATTTTTATCAGATAAATTATATCAAAAGATATCGATAACCGCGTCAATGATCACTGGCAGTAGAGCGCGAAACACTGGCACGCACACCATCATTTTGGCGTTCTACAGGCCCAGACTATGGCCCCGATTCCATGCCGGCGTCCCGGTACCCTAATGGTGACGAGAGTCTCAAACGGAATGAGGATGGACCGGGGCCCCATGCCACGAATGTCGTTTAGCTCATATTTCAGCATCATTTCTCCGATTAATCGTGATAATAAGTACTGGGGCAGATCCAGAGTGGGTGAGGGGGTCGAAACTCCACCCTCCTCAGCTACATAAAAAAAAAATTGTAAAACAACACTTAGTGCTTTATCGTTTATCATTAGATGGTGGGATGGGATTGGTATAATAATGATATAGACATGTCTGATATCACAATTAATGCTTTGCATCAATGAAATTGAATCACAATGTGAAAATTGACGTCACTCAGAGTGTTGGATTTCTCTCTTTAAAAAGCTCAATGTGTATGTATGTCTACGACTACATAATTTAGAGACAATAACGGCATCATGCATTGTCAACTCCCCCCCCCCCCCCCCCCCCCTTCAAAAATTCCTGTCCAACCTCGAGGGTCTTTTCCGGATCCCCTGGTTACCTCCCCACTGCTAAATAAAGACCCCTACGCGCAAGCAAATTATTAAAATAAAATTGAAACATATGTTAGTCCCGTAATAACCTAGTTTGTGTTGAGTGGAAGTTACCCCCCCCCTCTCTCTCTCTCTCTCACTGAATTTCAAAATTCCGTCCAACCAGACGAATAGCTAGTCGTTCATATCGAGTCGTTTATATCAACATAATCCCAACCAGGTGCTGAATCACAAAATTGCAAACGACTTTGTCATAATGATGGTTGCTAGGCAGAAGAGTAAAAATTCTAAATTTGTTTGATGTTCATGCTAAACGCGTAAAGAGTCAATGAAGAAGGCGTTTTTTATCTAAATAATAGAAATAAGATGAAATAGAATTAAAATTTACACTGAACAAATAAAGGAGTTGGATTATACGTTATCTTAATTTAGAAATTACATGAATAGAAGTTACAAATTAGATGATAGCATGTTAGAATTTTGAATCTAATATAACGGTCATCAGATAATTGTCATTGTTAAATGTGACAAATCGCATACAATCACACCTCCAACAAACATAATAAACTATGATAACTAATTTAAATTGATTTCATTTATTTATTTCAAAATATGTTACGATGTCAACAATCGACAAAATTTGCAAATATAAATAAATAAATATAGCTATAATGTTAAATTGTGTATTGCACTGTATAAACCATAATGTTGTTCATGCATATAATTGCTGTTTTAATAAACTATTAATCAATCACTAATTACAATACATACATTACAACGAATTGCAACAAGATAATAATATGATACATTGACATTAGGACACAGCTCAGCTCACCAAATATTCCTAATGTGAAAGTTATTTTTAGCCTTCCTCCTCCTCCCCCACACTTTTGCATGCCAATTTTGTTGACTTTTTGGTGTAGAATCGAAGAAAAGGGTTTGAAAATACATTTTCTGCCAGGTTTTGGTGAATATTCATTATTTTAAGGCGGAAGGATACAAGAGTTGAGAGGTTGGTCGGGTTGAAATGTGGGGAGGAAAATTGCATGTTTACTGATCCTTACTTCCAGTTTGTGTATCTCAAGTTTTCCATCGTGAACCTAATACTTGCTTTTGAGCAAGAAGTTTCCACATGTTGTTCCCTCTGTGGTAGAAAGCGTTCTACCCAACGAAAATTTGGGATAAAGATAGAGCCGGTCTAAGAGACGAGAATTAACATTAAAGCCAATTGGGATATCATTAGTGATCTGTTGTAGCCTTTAGTTTCTTGTAAAAAAAAAAAAAAAAAAAAATCACATACACGAGTTATCTCCCTTCAGGCGAGTGAGCGTCAAACTCTGATTTGCGCACTAAATTGTTATTTTGTGTTTCCAAAGTCAACATTTTGGAGTTATTGGATGTTATTTTGGAGTTACTGCCGATTAGGTATTGTTCTAGTTTGTGCATTGAAAACAGATCGAAGAGGGGTCTCCGCGGCATACTGACTGTGTTATGCAATTCTATGATTTGATCCTCATGCAATTGGCTTCTTCAACATTTCAATTAACAATTTTATCGGGTGGACTGTTGTGCGTTAATGTCTGTCTGCATATGCGCAGAAATGGTATTCTCAAAAATTGGATCGAGAGAACCGAACTCTCAAATAGTGTGTGAATAAGGATTTAAAAAATAACGGAGACCGGTTAGGATTTTGTACTTTTATTTTGGTTGCTGTGCGCGTGGCTATTTATATAACGAAAACCGGTAAGGATTTTTTACTGTTTATTCTTTCCTTTTTACGGCCCCTATGAGAGTCATGTATTACTGATACGTCTAAATAGCCATGCGCATGTTATTTAGTTGCACCGCGTGTCAAGCAAAATAATGATTTGTTGACAACTCGGATAATATTTTAAAGGTAATTACCGAGTCATTTTAAACAGATATTGGCAACTCCATTATCGGCAAAATGGCTGTGTATCGGCCGATACTGATTTCTCCCGATAGGCCACTTATTGGCCAATTACCAATGTTGAAACAGATGATCGGACCATCACTAATTTTGATTTAAGCTAAATATGGAGAAGCAAGACTTAGCTTCGAATAACCAGTACGGTGGTTGAAATTATTGCACACGTCTAGTCAAACCTTCAAAGACTAATATCTTCGCTTGCATTAGAGTAGTTTGAATGAAATTTTCAAATTATTTATTTTACATTATCTATTTTCGAATGACTGGCTCTTTATCTAAATCTTACATAATGTATCTTTAAAAAATTTCTTCTTTTTGGAAGACCAACCAGCTGGATTTGTTTCATGTGATACTAGTTATTGGTGATGGCTTTATAGAGATATACATGTACATGTAACTAAAAAACACTTTGCTTTTCTCTGTACATTTAGAAATGTACACCGGTAATCTAAATATGTTGAATAGAAATAAGATCTGAGGGTTTAGACTTTGATTAAAAGGCTTACGCTACATTTATCCTCACAACAGCTATTATAGTAACCTTGTATGCTCTTAAGATTTTATACAGAGTTTGAAGTCCTTGGCACCTAACAATGGATGCTATCTACATGTGTAAGCTTATATGGGTTAATGTTTTCTAGATTTCTTTTGCAAATTTGTCAGAATTGTTAGTCATAAAGAGATAGGACCTAAATCTCCCATCGGCTTTTTGATGCATGTATAGTTTTGCCCTCAACCCCAAAAAATTAAAAGACACACACCCCACTCTTTCAAAATGTTATTAGATTACCTTGGTTTTCTTGTAGATCAGAATACTATATCGAGTATTGATATCATTTTCCTTACATTTCTTATCTTTAGAACTTAACTGAAATTCAATATCTGTTTTATAGACTGCAGAGAATATATGTAGATACCTGTACACTTTACCCTGCTAGTCCAGTGTCTTTGATTCTCCGAAAAATATGGATAATGCAACTTGATTGGAATTCGTTTATTTCCTGCATATTTCCTGCATTAAACAATTCAGAGTCACTCCACAAGAAAACCATGCATAAGGCTCGAAGGTGGGGGTTGGCTGATTGAGTTCATATTTACAGGGTTTGGTCGTCCCATCTAGCCTACTCCCCAGCCAAAAACGCTGATTTTAGAAATCAACCTTTTCTGAGATACATTGTACAGTCCGATTACGTTTTTCGACTGATAATCGACCAATGGCTAACTATGTTTTGGTTGGTGATTATAGTCTGTGTGTCATCCTACCATATTATAATGGTCACTCAGTGCAACCTCTCTTTCCGTAGGTGTCACAAGACTGCACAAAATACAATGTACGTGTCTACAGATACCTGAATTACACCCTTTCTTCAAGTTGCGATAACTCCACTGGAGCAGGGTTTGAGATAAAAATGAAAATTATTTTATTTGCAGCTTGACCCATGATTTTACGAAAAATTACAATTTTAATTCTATTTTGATGTTTATAACCCAAAGATCTTGAATCCTTTTGTTATTCGCGCATATCTAATTGTAACTTCCT